AGGTGGAGGATGAACTATTATCACGGCATACTCGAAAGTATAATGGTCGGATTAATGTTGTGAATGCGAGGTATGCATCATTTCGCGGAATGTGGGACATCCGAGGGGCTGAGGGTAAGAAGACGGTAGACATCTCAATGAATGCCGGGAATATCTTACGGTCAATACATGCTTGCAGTTGGCAACAACCGGCAAGTCTTTTGAAATCGTAAAAGACCAAGTACATCGTGTATAATGCGACCGTAAAACGAGAAACGTAAAGCTCGAATGTGCATGTCCACAAGAAAAACTTTCCGTCTGTTGTTATGTTGATTATGCTGACTCCATTACAGTTAGTCGTGAAACAAACGAGATGAAGCGAAACTCACATTTTCCAATCTCTTCCGAAATAGATAAGAAGGTATGCGGTTTTGCCTTACGATGTCTCGTTCTGCATTGCTTTACACTTCGTAGTATGTGTAACAAAATTAGCGATAATGTGGTTCAATTTCGAATTAAAAAATATACATTTACCCTTAAATATTTAAAGTTTTCAAAATAATTGAGACAGCTTGTCACAACTTTTTATTTTAACTTTACTAATTTGTTGAAGCGGAAATTATGGGGTTTGCTTACTCGTTTATTCCACGAGTATCCTAGTCTGTTCATCAATCAAGATTATGATCAAACTATGATCAAACTATACTATACTAGTGAGTTCCAATTTTTAAACTTCCTACATGACCTGCATTTAAAACAGTAATGCTGCGACCTGTGCATACACTATCAGTTTAATTTATGTCTTAATTTATATTCGTTTATTTGTTTTTGCTTGTTTATATTTTTTTTATCAACTGAATTCGTATTTGTTTTTACAACTTTATTTATTTTTATATTTTCTATAGAATACGTGACCGTGTTATAAAATGGATATTAACGTGTTGCGCGAAAAATATTTAATGAGAGATATTTGATTAAAAACTGGAGAAAAATTCGGGAAAATCTCTTCGCCACGTTTTGAAAGGCTCTCATACATACTAATATAATTTTTAATATAGAGCTTTTTATTCAACTCTGTCTATTTAGAGTTCTAATTAATTAATAAATCGTACCAAATATGAATACTATCCATTATAGCCATTTCTATCTTACGAGTGTGAGAGAGGAGTGCATTCATAATAACTATATAAAATTTCATTACATTTGCTAATAGATTTTTTTTTATTAAGCTTGGAATACATATAATATACGACCAAATAATTCATATTTAGTAAAATTAGTTTATTATTATTATTATATTTAAAAGAATAGACTTTTAATAATTATGTAACATTTTTATTTGATATTTTTTTATAAAACAAATTATTTATTATTTGTTTTTTAATGACAATTGTGGATTTCTAACAGAACGTTGAAATTACGATTATTGATACGCTATAGTTTTAGAATTCGTTAATTATGTTTTTACACATGAAGATAATGCAGTTTGCTTATATTTGAAACTTGGATAGTCTTTCATACGTACGTTTTGCCGATAGTACTCCGCAATTTAACACAATCACCGATTTTATTGGCTTTCCAGTCTTCGTACCGAATCCCTCGATCTGTGTAATCAGATAGCAGATAAACAGTTTACCACTATTCCGTGGTCAAATTTAAACGTGTGGAGAATTAAATCGCTCTCGCAAAACGATACTAAGTGATACAATAAAAATAAAGTTTTTTATTATCTGTAAAATACGGGATAATTCTCTCTCTCTCTCTCTCTCTCTCTCTCTTTTTCCCTTATTTATTTTATTCACGATATTTTTAAAATAATCTTTGCCAACTTTTATAGCGTAACATGTGATAAATTACATTTTTATTTAAAAATAACAGATAAAAAGACAAATTTGATAATTTGTTGTTCTCCAATTTTGAAAAATAAAAATTCAGATCTACTTTTAATCCCAGATAAAAAATAAAACTCACAATGACATTATGATGATGTTATCATGATTTTATTCACCACTTATCTGCGAATATATTAATGATAACATCTCTCTCTTATCATGATATCATTATAAGTTTTATGTTCTATCTGAGAGAACATTTTATGTTCTACTTGGGATTCCATATATGATGATTACCATTGATGTTAAAAGTTAGTAAGTTTACTATTAAACAAAAACTATAAACTAATAAATTATTTACATTATATTTTATGTTAAATATAATAATATAAATTGTTATAAGAATATAAATAATTTAATTTGTAGTATAATAAATATTCTCATAAAAAAAGAAAAATCGAAATGTGTTTTTGTATGTAATTTGCAAGCTCTTCGTTAGATGGCGACATATATTCCATTGTCATTACATAATCAATAAACATAAAGTTCCAAGTTAGGATAATATAGAAGCTCTTCATTTATATGCGTCAAGTCAAGACAATATGGAAAACAGATAAGAAAAGTATGAGAACAAAAAAAGGAAAATTTATACAGATTTGTACAGATTTATATAGATTCGTGTAGAGCGGAATAGCACATGTTAAAACTCACTTTTTTATTTTTTTATCTAACAAAAAACAATCGATCAAATTAAATTATTAAATTATTGTCTATCAATTTTAGAATAGTTTATATATTTTCCTAATTTAATATATGTATATTGAAGAAATCTAATTAGTTAAATTTTGGTAAAACTGAGCATTATATATATATATATATATATATATACAATATATATATATATATATACATATATATATATATATAAAGCATAAAAAGAAACAAAATCTATTGTAATGTATTGTAATATTAGTTGAAGTATAATTCTCTTAGTACAGAATATTATTTATAAGTGATGCGAGAGTTTTACTTTATTAGAAGAACAAAAAGAGGAGACCATTTCTTTTCTGTCAGCAAGTCGGTTTACATAATTAAATGAACAATGCTGCCTGATGACATTGTATTACTGCACGAGAAACGTTATTTAAATGAAGTTTAAATTACTAAAGAAAAGGAGAACGTTACCTTGTAAATGTTCATCATTCCATCTATTACTCGGCCGAAAACGGTCTTATGGGGGTCTACAGTTTTCAAGCATTTAAATGTAAGATTAAATTTGGAATCGTTCTTTCCGTCATTATTGTCGCATGTAGACAGGATTCCAGGTCCTATGTGACGTAGATTAGAGTTTTCCTTGTCGAATGAGTCACCATATATGGAAGTACCGCCGGTACCGTCAAACTTTGTGACATCTCCGCCTTGACACCAATAGCCAGAGACGATACGATGAAATGGAGTGTGCCTATGAATTATAAATTTTATACAAAATGTTTCAGAAAGCCTTGGGGTTAATAAACATTCTTAAATAAATAATTGATAAATTTAAATTTTGGTACAATTTCAAACATGATTATTGACTTGTTTTTCGCACATAATATGCATATAATATAATATAATATAATATTTATGTACTTATACGACAATCCGTTCACTCCACGGCAGAAAGCTGCGAAGTTCTCGCATGTACGTGGTACGACACTGTCGTAGAGTTCAAATACTATACGCCCTAATTTCTGACTTTCTTCTTTAAGACCAATGTCGAAGAAACATCTCGTTCGACTTTTCTCAGATAATTGCTTTTGTGCATCAAATACAACGGACAGTCTCTGAATCACTGAGATGTATCTGCATAATGTAGAAAAATACATAGAAGTTTAATTGCAAAATGCAAATTTTTTAAGTAGAAGTGTAAGCTAAAATTACTATAAAATTATTTTTTTAAATATTAATTAGGCAAAGAAACCTTGCACGGTGCTCTAGTGCTTCATGCATATTCTTCCAGTTTTTTAAAAACGCGCGGGTGGGATATTGACTTTCCGCTTGACGGATTTTCTTTAGCATAATTCTATTTTTACGCATAATAACATTGTTTTTGCGCTCTTGATCCTCAAATTTCGATTTATATCTGACATCTGGTGCCCAGCAATCCACAGGTCCCTAAAAACAAAGTAAACGCTTAACATTACCGTGTTTTATATTTCTGAATATTACATCTGGATTAATATTATTTAAAGATAATTAAAATTGAACAAATTTCCATAATATTAAAAAGTATATAATAAAAATAAATCATTACTATTTAATATATAATATGTATAAAATTGTATTAGTTTTAGTAAAATAAGATATGGCGATACTAACCCCTAATCGATGAATTATGTTTATCTTCTTCAATAGTTTCATATTCTCTTTATCTATTTGTTTAACTCGTAAAGCATCTTGTTGCAAATCATGAGCTTTCAAATTAATAGATGCATCAAAATGCGGAGGTTTGTTATCGATTTTTGCGACAATATGCACATGACGAGGTTTCTTACGCTTTTTACTATTCATAATAGCACAAAATTTGCATAAAATTTAATTTTTATTTTAGAAAGATATCTTTTGTACGGTTTGTACTGATATTATCATATTTTTACGTTAATTTCATCTGTAATATTATTTGGTGCAAATTTATAACCAAAATTTATGAAAGTCTTTAGTCTTTATTCATATGATGTTTATGTGAATTGATGCAATGTTCAGGTAATAATTATTACTGTGTAATATTCGGATTGAATTTAATTAATAGCGAGTTAACAATGTTGTCGAACAATGTGCTTTTGAAAGCTATATAAGCATAATAATATTTATTATATAATAAACTTACAGGTATAAACGCGGACTTGACTATGTGCAATTTATTAATTAATTTATTAATTACATCTATTTATTTCTTTTGTCAGCTTCAATATCCAATTAGCATTAAATTATCCCAGTTAATAATTAATGTAATGTAAATGAGAGAAATTGAGTACTTTATCTTTCTTTATTACTGACATTATTTTTCAGTAACAACTTATATTTTTTTATATAATAAAATATATTTATAAAATTGCTTCTATGAAGAAAATAACTATTGTGAGAAAGAACAAACGAAAAAGATAAGATAAAACGTAAAAATAGGATAACAGATATTTTATATTTTGCAGTTTCTAGAAAAGAATATTAATTGCTTATTGAAAATTGTTTGCATATCGCATTTAGCTATAATTTTTTAATGCATGCTTGAACCTGTCTGCTTGTATTAATATAATTGCAAGTGTCAGAATAGATTCGGAGTACTAAAAAAGAATTAATATCAATTTTTAAATGTTTAGCGTGTATATACAGTCATTCGTGGACAACATGATAATAAATAATTAATAACGCACCCTGTAAAGGAATTTATATCCAAATTGGAAAAATCTAAGCCCGCAAAACCTGAGTGGCGCTTGTGTTACTTGCAATAAAAATTGTAAAATCTGCATGAAGATAATAGATAATTTAATATATAATTTTGATTTAGACAGTAACGTAATCTTTTAATTTTATGTTGAAGCTTACATTTTCACGTATTTCCTCATCGTAAGAGAAATACAGTATTTTACTTATAACTTTGCCTGTTGTGTTTGCCTAAAATTAGAATCAAATTGATATTACTTTACATATTGTGAAATTTAGCAGTCATGTAATCACTGAAAGCGAATTAAAATAGATGCATTTCGAATTTGAATATGGTAGAATCGATACCTTTGCACTAACTTTCTCGCACATATAATTGATCAGGATAACTCTGGAGATATACCAAGTAAGCCATAATATGATTATAATGACGAATAATATTCTTTTATTAGGGACATAATTCCTGACGAATATCGCGGTGTAAAGTTCACGGTGAAACTCCGCTATAAAACCGAAATAACATACCATCTTCCAGGTCATTTGTATTTCGAATATCGAGTTTATCTCGTGAGATAATTTCTGTAACTCCAGATGAAGATGTCTGCGTAAATAAATAGCAAATTTATTATGCAAAATCGATGTGTAACAATGATTATATTATTTATACTTACATTACGATCCATGTTATATGTTTACTGCTCGGAACATTTGAGAGTTTGGCTTGTTGAGAATGTAATACAGGATTTTCCCAAACCTTTATCCCACGTATATTCTCTGTTGTCAATTTGTAAAGATGTTCGTTGACTTGATCAAATTTCAATCCTAAGTATCTAATGTAGAAGAGATTTAGCGAAATATAGAAATATGCAGAAATATATATACTGTAATTTAGAAAAGTTTCCAAAAAAAAACTTAATTTCTTAAACATTAATATTAATTTGTGCATAGATTGCTGAAATAATTTTCATGTATGATAATTTATATATTTATAAAAAAAGGATTTACTAACCCAAGAATACTCGCAAAAATCAAGTCGTCAATAATGTTGATATCAGAACAATAGTTTAGTATAAGTGTTGCACAGATGGACGATAGAGCGTCATGCATATCGTACCACCGTATATAATCGCAAAAGTTTAATAATAAAACTATTACAAACCACCCTAAGATAATCCACACTGTTCTTCTAGTTAATTTCTCGTAATCCGTTTTTGATCCGAGTTTCTTCAATGTGTCATCCACAACAGCGAGTTTTTTTAGGCAGTTTCTAAATTTCTTATGTAAAAAAGTCAATATACGATTGATAAATATTATTTATTTAGAAGTTTAACGTGCCTAATAGTGTATTTATGTCACTTTTCAAAAAAGTGCGATTTTATTTGAACAATAGATATAGTTAAATGCGTCAGTATGATCGAGTTAGATAAAGTTAAAGAAGATTTTATTGAACATATTGCAAAAAGAAATTTTAATAATTTGTATACTTATCTATATGCAAAATAATTTTTATTATAAAATTCTTTTATTAGAAATAAATTTGCAAGAATGTACAAATAAAGCAAGGATATTCAAATTCAATTTAATATTTAAATATCAAAATTATTTTATATAAAAGCAATTTGAATAATAATATGATTGAGATAATGTATTATTAATGTGCGTATAATATATTAATATTTAATTTATCCAGTTTTCCTACCTTATCATGATATATTCCGAGAAGTATTGATAATAAAACTGTAAAAATATTCAATGAAACATAAATAATATAATCGGCGGATTCCTCAGGTATATAAGATATTCCTTTATCTATCACGAGAAAACAGTAAACCGACCACAGTAGCGGAATGTAAAGGAGACTGAACCAAAGTTTTGGATGTCCCGCGGAAAACTCGATAATCCTCAAACCGCACATCGAACTGATTAACAGAAGTGGCGATAAAACAGATCTAATGCTTTTCGCCATGGCAGATTTCGAACTATGCTCTTCTTGCTGATCGCCAATAGACTACGATAGCAGATCTCCGTAATTGTAATTGCTGCACTTACGCATATTGGAATAATCGATCCACTAAATTTTACATTGCAAGCAAACAGGGCAACTGTTAAGTTCCTTATCTATTTTCACGTAAAACATAATAAACTTACGAAGCAAAATAAATAATTTGTAACAAAAATCGATTTTGTTAATATACTTACTTATTTTCTTTTCTTTTATTGATTTTACAGTGATGTTATACACGTATATATAAAATACATGTTTAAAATATTATTAAATAACAAATGATGCATATACATATGATATGAGATATAATGTTCCAATTACTAATATTAAATGATTATAGTGTAATATAAAAAATGTTTATAACATTTTGCTTTATTTTTGCTTAAATGTATGCTTTTACAATTACATATAATATTTTTCTTATAATATTTTTATATATTGAAATTACTGCGATCTTCACAGCTAATTCTATCAATCTATTTATATCTATATAAAATTATCTTTATAAGAAAAATGATTATTACGAATAAATATAAGGGAGACTTATAAAATAATATTAAAAAGATAAGTTTTATATGTTAAACTTTCTGTAAAAAATAAATCTTAGGAACAGTATATGACTGCCATATATCTATATTTAGAAAATATTTATCAAAGTTTATGAATTACGCGCTAAATATTACTGTCTATTAGATATTTGAATGTTAATTATACATTATTTAAATGTTTAATACATTAATTATTATTTAAATGTTTACTGCTGTAAACGATTGTGTATATATTACTAATACGGTTAAAACAGAAGCGAAGAACTAAAAAAGATAATAAATTTATTTTTTAAATATTTTTTAACAGCAAGTACTTATAATAATTAAGTTGCAACTTACCCCATAAAAGAATTTAAAACCAAATTGGAAAAGTCCAAGCCCGTAGAACTTAAGTGGCGATTGAGTTATTTGCAGTAAAAACTGTAAATTCTATATTAATACAATGAATTACTTAATTGTCACAAAGTTTTGTCACGTATAGTTTTTTTTATTTTTACTTTATATATAAATCTATGTTTTAATAACATTCAGCCAATTTGAAAACTTACGTTTTCACGAATTTCAATATCGCAAGTGGTATATGAAAATTTATTTATAAAATCTTTTGTTGCACTTGCCTAAAATTTGGAATTTGCAAAATAAAAATATAGTTCACAATTTATATTAATATTGGAACTTAATATTACTTGTAATAATCAAACTATTAAAATTAAATTCTAAATAAATATATTTAACAATTTTTTGTATGTAGCATTAATACCTTGGTGCTAACCCTCTCACATACATAATTAATGAGAAAGAGTCTGAAAATATATATAAGAAGCCAGAACAGAATTATGATGACGTAAAGCATCGAGTTATTTATATAATTTTTATTGTACGTTAAGCGGAAAAATTCTTTGGAAGCCGTTGCTATGTAAGTGAAATAACATCCCATTTCGAGAGTCATTTGTGTCCCAAATATCGAGTCCATTTTGCGGGATATTTTACATAACTCCGAATGAAGATGCCTATTAAACATGACAGTGATCTTGCTGCATGATGTAACTATTATAACTGATGATTAATTAAACTTACATAAATATACTTACATTACAATCCACATTTTGTTACATTTGTTTCTTGAAGCTTTTGGAAATCTGGATTTATATGAACGTAACGTGGAATGTTTCCAAGTTAGGTTTACTCTACGTTTATTATCTTCTGACAATTTCTTAAGGTATTCGTTAATTTGGTCGAACTTTAATCCCGTGTATCTAAATAAAAATATGAATGATATCAAATGTGAATAAAAAAATTAACAAATTTATTTGTTTAAATAAAAACATGGACTAACCCAAGAATAATCGTAATTATTAGATCGCCAATAAAGGTAATATAAACACAATAATTGCGTATAACGGGAATAAATATAGCTGGTAAAATATCCATACGGCTTCTTAAAAGATAATACTCCAAATAAGTCAGCAATATAATTATCACAAACCATCCTAAAGAAAGCCATACTATTTTTATCTTAAACTTGTGATAATTTGTTGTTGTTCCAAGTTTTTCCAATGTGTCGTCCACAATAGTGAGTTTCTTTATACAACTTTTAAATATCTGACATAAAAAAATAAAGTGTAGATAGATAATTTATACCTACAATGATTTTAATAAGATATTAATTTTATTTTTAAAGAGATATAATCAAATATGAATATTATTGTTATAAATTGCTTTTCTAAAGAAATAATTATGTCAAATGTGCAGCAAAAAAAATTAAAATGTTATATCTTATGACTTATTATTATGCAAAATACTTTACATAAGTATAACAGTTTTGCTTCCTCATAGAGGAAGCCAAATTAATAAATATCTACTAATAATTATGCATACAAAAACAGGCTTCCTCATAGAGGAAACAATGAGGAGGTTTCTACTTGCACACTTAAAAACTATAAGGAAGCAATGTGCAAGTTTCTACTTGCTCACTTAAAAACTATGAGGAAGCAATGTACAAGTTTCTACTTGCACATTTAAAAACTATGAGAAAGCAATGTGCAAGTTTTTACTTACACACTAAAAAACTATGAGGAAGCAATGTGCAAGTTTCTACTTGTTTATTAGACGAACATTAATATAACAAACTGCAAGTTGTGTGAATTTTATTTTACAATCATTTATTTTAAATACTCAGACAAATGATTTTCATCCTATGTTTCTTACCTTATCATAATATACTCCAATGATAATTGATATTAACATTGTAAAAGTATGTAGTCCAATGCAAACGTGATATTCAATCGTATAAGTATAAGAGACTGTATAAGATATTGTATATATCAGAATAAAATTGTAAACCGTCCATAACAGCAATATGTACACAAAACCGAACCATTGTCTTAGATCTCCTATAGGAAATTTGATTATTCTTAAACCGCATACATAACTAATAATCAGTAACAACGACAAAACTTCCCAAATATCTTTCGTCATAGCATATGCCTTTGCAATTACGAACTGCACTTTCTTTGCCGACAACTTCGTTAAATGATAACGATAGCGGATCTTTATAGGTACAATTACTACTTATGTATGATGAAATAATCGATTTTATACTAAATTTTACATACCACGAGCTATTCTCGAAATAGAATTAGATGGATTCGTCGTGTTTTCACGAACAAATACATTTGTAATGCTAATGTTGTTTCTGGTATTTTTCTTTGTTCTTTTTTTACTCTTACTATTGTACAGTGCTATTATGTGGGTAAAAAAATTATGAAATAGCAAATGTAATTTTGAAATATGTAATAATGTCTATTTTAATAATTGACAATGTAGTAATAAAATTGATGTCAATAATAATGTAATAATAAAACAATATATAAACGTAAATAATCTTTACAACATGTAGCGCTTTAAGGGTAAGGTAGAAATATATCTTTTGATAAATTATACAAAAATGTTTTACGTTATGTGTAAAAAATAATTGTAAGAAAAACAGGAGGGAGATACTTGGTATAGAAATAGAACGTAAAGTATAAAGTATTAATTTTGTTTATAACATATTTTTTTTTAATGAGAAATTAGTTTACAGCGTAAATATATAACAACCAATGCATGTTTAGAAAACATTTTATTAAATATTTTACTTATCAACGTCTTTATTTTTCAGTATTTTAAGTTATTCATTTAAAAGTTATTCATACATTATGTTAATCATGACTTTTTTGAACGCTTACTTATCCATATGCATCTGTGTTAATATAACTAAAATCGTCACAGTGTACTTGGAGAACTAAAAAAAGTAATCTTATTTTTCATATCTTTGTTATAAATACGTGTTTAGTGAGTAAACATATGAAAACTACAACGTACATCATGAAAGACTTTATAGCCAAATTGGAAAAGTCCAATTCCACAGAATTTGAGTGGCGTTTGAGCTATTTGCAATAGAAACTGTGAAATCTATATTAACATAATGGGTTAATATATATATATATATATTTTTTTTTTTGTTTATCTGTTTTTACTTAAACTTAAATTCGTGTGTTTTATTTTAGCAATATTTAACAAACTTATTTTAAGATTAACTTACGTTTTCATGATTAATATCACGATTGGAATAAGATATCTTATTTATTAAATCTCCTGTTATATTTGCCTAAAATTTGTGCAAAATTAAGATTGTTTTTAATTTAGTCATATAGTGTTATATTAATAATAATTGTTAAAAATTATTCCAAAATAATTTTGAGTTTGAATATAGAATAATACCTTAGTGCTGATTCTCTCACATACATAATTAATGTACAGAAATTTAAAGATGAAGTAGAAACACCAAATTAGATTGGAAACAGTGAATAGTATTTTGTTATTGCCTTTTACATAATCGTTGATAAATATTATGTTGGTAATTTCATAAAAAATTTGTGTTAACCAAAAGGTGTAACATACTATGGATGTAGTTATCTCTACTCCGAATATCGAGTTTATTTCTCGAGTTATCTTGTATAGCTCCAAATAAAGATGCCTGAGTAAATGCAATATTTTAAATTGATTATATGCAAATACCATTATTTTTAGAATTTACATTTAATTTTTACATTAAAACGTAAATCAGCCAGTCATTGTTTGCAACTTTTGGAAATCTGCGTTGATGCGAATGTGATACAGGATTTTCCCAAATTGCCGTTATTCTATGTTTATTTCTTGTCAAATTCCAAAGAAATTTATTAATTTGATCAAACTTTATTTTTATATATCTGAAATAGAGAAAAGATTTGTGGATAATGTTTCGTACCATTAGCAAATATATGTATATGCAAAAATATATTTTTGTATTTAAATCTTTAAAAGATCTTAAATAAATAGAGAATTCCGGGGCTCCTTGGCACAGTTTTCACAATTTCGGCATTTGAGTTTTTAAACAACCAATTATTATGATTAAAC